ATTTATGATTTACTTCATACTTTTACTTCCCTTAGAAATCGACAGTTTAGTTTGGGTGACAACTTAACTTTCTACAAGTGAGGTGCATTGCAGCACCTGCATAAATTAAAGCAACAGTGAATTACTGATGTTAAAATGTCATAAATCGATTAGGAAGACAAATCAAAGTAACAAACACAAACTGATGGAATGGCAAGAACTCCAAAAAAAGGCTTGATCAGTGCTTCGAAAGGGTAAGTGATTCTTGATTTGCAATCATCATCCACCATACGAATCCACAATCAGACAAAATGTCACCATCGGAAATAGGACACAATCGGTTAAACTACAGATAGGACAATTATTCTGGTATCAAAATATTTAAGACTGCGAAACATGTCCCTAACGAATTGAGACACATACATATCGTACCGGTGAACAAATATGTGATGGTTACTGTTAAACTTGTGTAGTGTCGATTTCATTCGTTCTTCCTCTTAACAATGCTGGAGCAGTTTTTGAGGAATGAGCACACTTGTGCAATGAAGTGCGTAAAGTGTGAACATGCACGAGCGTAACTCAGCAATAAATATATGTAAACGCAATATGATGTGGCAGAGGGTATGTTTAAGCTACGAAATGGGAAATTGACGAGTGGAAAATTGAAATCATTATGTTTTTATAGACTAGTTTGACGTTTGAAGTTTAAAGTTGTCCATATCGAGAAAAAGATCAACATATAAAGCAGACGTTAAAGTTTCTATAGTTTTCTCATCACGAGTTCATTGGGATATATGAGATGCAAAGACGCACTGAAGGTTGATTATTGAATGACATTGCATCATTAATATATATGAATGTTCAATGAAAGACATTTGGCAATTGGAACATGTGTTTTTCTTTTTGTCTTTGAAGAGGTTTTGTAAAGAAATTAAGGCAGTTTCACGGACGCTATTATAAATTGACTTGCCGTTAAGGAATATCTGTTTCGCCGATGACCACGGATGTGAACCATTTGGCGTATCCAAAATCCAGTTTATGAATTTCCACTAAATATCACTTGGGTCTTGTTTTTGCTTTTAACAGGCAACACGACATTTGAAATAGATTCTACCTTTTCCAAGCACATCAGTTCTTTCCGGACTTTTTATGAGATTCAAGCTACTCAGTCTTAAGTCATAATTTTGTATAGTGTGTTATTAGCTATAAATATGATGTAAATTTTATTCAATGTATTCGACAGTAATAAGGATATAATATTAAGGTGGTACCAAACACCTTGACTAAAAATAATTTGGCTCGTTTATTTTGTATAAAATTTTGACAAAATATTTACTCTGACCCTTTGACAAAAATATAAAAATTTCAAAAAACTTGAACCACACACTTTATCGGAAAAATTTCATTGGATATATAGCAGGTTGACAAACACTAATTTTGATCATTGAGAAGCTTAATATTTCATTAACAATGTTATGATAATTTTCCATTATTCGACTTAAACGATTGCTATTTTAAACTGCAAAATCTTTATCAAACAATTTATCTAACTTAATTAAATTAATGGCATAATAATATTTGTCAAAACAACTAGAATTTAATTTTATTTCGTATGATCTCAATCAAGAAATTATAAAATATCATATTTCTTAACGTCACAGTCATTATATGATGCTAAAAACATATCAAGTAGTATTGGTACTGGTTATATTAAAGTTCTAAAAATAGCAGAATCACAATATGCACAAAATTACAAAATTTTAAGATAACGTAAAAGTACAATTTAAATTACTGCAACTGAAAACGTCCGGATGTTTGATTTCTTGATCAACAAATGTTTTTGTAGTTTTGATGGGCGCATTTTCAACAGACAGTTGGTATTCCTTCTTATGCGTACAAACTAGGTTTTCTTCGAGCCGACTTGTTTCTTTATTCGTTTGAAACAGACTTATCATTTTAATCTAGCACAAAACCAGGATATGGAGTGTGATGCAATATTCCAGGGTTGCGTTTCCCATTATGATTTCATTGCAAGAGTGGTGTTACCATTGACCTAATGTTTCTTAAAGATAAATTTGAAGTCATCTTAATTGTATTGAACGTTTTCAAATATCTGTGACACAAATAACCACGGATATGTTCCGTTTGGCGTATCGACAATCTCGTTTTCTAGTCTTTGTTAGTGTTCACATCGAATGCGACTTATTGTCGGATTATATCTCTTCCATTATTTGGTGTCACCATATACCATGGATATGTCCTGTTTAACCTAACCGCATAATTCCGTCATCTTTTCTTCATTTGTAACGGTCGAACTTATAAAGCAGAATTTGCCTATCGATATTGAGTTTTCTATGTAGCGATTTATGGAGACTGTTGTTTGTATGTTCATCTGTTTGTTTTAAATTGGTGTTATCTATCTTTGACTTATCTGGTTTTGATTGCTCCCTCGATATCAACTCATTATTTTCAGCAAATGCAATAGTTAAATACATACTGCAAGCCGCGTTTAATTTTGTTCCCCAACTGCGAAATGTCCGAAATTTTATTGTTTGTTTTAATTTTCCTAACTGGTTTGGTAGTTCTCGGTTCTTCAGTTGTTGAAACTCATCTACGACACCAATTTTTTCCGGGTTTTGGCATCTTGACATCATGCAAACTTCCATCATGTTAGATGACGTTACATTTTTCGCAGATCATCAGAATAGAATCGTCAATAAATATATTGTCTAAAAATCTCGTTCGATAAAACATTTTGATTGTTATCATTTCATAACAAATTCCGTATTAAGGCTGTCTAATCTCCTTACTTCTCTGAAGTCCATCGGTTTATTGCCGAGCGTTCGAGATTCGAACCTTGCTCAGAATTTGATTTTAAATCTGACATTTGCTTGACAATTTAGGCATGCATAACTGTCTCGAGTGGAGAAAAGTCTTATAAGACATATCAGGTTTGTTTTAAAAGAAAAGTTTATGAACTTTAATTTGATCAGTGTCTTATACACTGTTAAAGACAGAGGCCACAAGACACCGCAGATCGAATATATATAAACAGTGAAATGATTGAAAGGAAACAAAATATGAACAAACATAAATACAGGACTATCGATTGAGACACAAAACCAATCTCTTTTAAAGAACAGAGGCCAGACACTACAGATCGAATATATATTAACAATATAATGATTGAAAGGAAACAAATCGTGAACATGTCAAAAAACCAGACTATCGATTAAGGCTCCTGTTTCTGAAATAACCGTCAAAAGCCAACAATATTAAAGGTATTATTATATAATTCGAGAATCAACTAAGAGGCTTCAAAAGGGATTATTTTAAATAGGGTTAATCATGGTAAAAAAAGTAAGAGACAATGGGAAACCGGAATTGCGATTTCATCATGATACAGAAAATATCCGTTCTGTTCAAAATAAGTATAGAAAGCCATATATACAATAAAACAAGGGATTCATTTCTTCAACAACGCAGAAAGCCCATCACACAATTAATTACAGAATATAGCAAACACTTAAAGAGGGTGACCACATTAAAGAAAGGACTTCTAATTGAATCTATTGTATAGTAAACTAAATAAGAAAATAAACAATCACCCAACAATGACCAACACACATAGTATCTAAAAAGTGTGCCAATGCCTTATATAAAATCAACGTTAAAGTCAAACCGGGAGAAGGGGCCATATTCAACTTTATCTTACCTCCTATACATTTCTAGGAATATCATTGGTTTAAAGCGACCGCGTGGAGACCGTATATATTTAATATTTGGTAGTAGGCGTGGTTTATTTTAATACATGGTTACAAGCGGTGTAATATACCTTTATAAAAACAACACAGTGTTGAGGAAAAATCTGAAACGTTTCGCCCGGACAACAGATGAAGAAATTAATGATGAACGATTGAAATAAATGCAGAAAATACATAAAAAGCTGTCATTGTTGGCATTTGTTTTTGTATAGACCAATGGAATTAGGTTTATTATATTGAAGACTTGGTCAGTTTGATAGGCCACTATTCTTAATGCCACATGTTAAGTTAGTCGGTAAGATAAATTCGTTACACAGTGTGCTAGTGACCAAATACGATATACATGGGGTTAGTAAAATTCATATGGGGTGAGAGCGATCTAATATTCTGTGAAGTGTGATGTGATTTTGTTATTCACAGGTGCGTGTCGAGATTTTGTATTATGTGTCAATACACTGCTATCCTTTCTTGTCCAGTAATAGATAAAAATAAGGAGATGTGGTATGATTGCCAATGAGAGAACTATCCACCAAAGTTCAAATGAAGTGGATGTAAGCAATTATAGGCAACCATAAGTTAATTTGTATCTTTAAAATCAATCACCCTTACTATCTAAGTAAACTTCCTTTACATTAATGTTTTAACCGATAAACCCATCTTCATATTGTAGCTTACGATAGAAAAAAAAATATATTTTATGAAAAAGACGTCCGTTAATTTTCCTTGGATTCTGCGAAGAATCGTGAAATCACATAAAAAAGGCAACAAATCTTGTACCTGCATTATGTCTACAAATTGGGTCTTTTTCTATTCTTTTAATTGTAGCGAACCAAAGCTTCCCGAGAAGGGATATAAATAGAAGGCATGAGGACAAAAGGCTATGAAAATGTTGTCAAGTTCCCGAAAGTAGTAATCAATGACACCTTTCAAATAATTTATGTTTCGAAAGTGCATATTTCTGTCAAATAATTGATACTGGATACTTTCCTTTCAAAGATAGCTCATGTTTAGGAAATTTGAATGCAAAATCTTTAAACTGAAACATGATATTTGTCGGTGAACAAATGCTTTTATTAATTTACCTGGAATGACATACAGAAAATATATCATGTTACCATAGAGCTGATAATGTGAATTATATCTGTAATGATGTTTGATCCAGTGGGAATAAACAAATTCTCGTATATAACTGTCACGTATCAATATTCAAGAAGCAAACAGTTCATTTGTCAATGCCGTATAACTGAATCAATTTTTATGGTTTTGTTATCTAAATGAGTTCGTACATTCAAATCTTAGTTTGTCACACATCGACATGGATAGATTTTTTATAAATGTTTCTGGAACCAAATTTGAAATCAGCAAGGCAGCGCTGTTGACACAGCCTGATACTCGTTTGGGGAAGATTGCTTTATCAACTTCTACTTCAGAAAAGCAAGAGCTATATTTTGATCGACCTGCAACAGCATTTGAATCTATTCTGACGTTTTACCAGACGCGAAAACTGCATATGCCACCAAACGTATGTCCAAACTCGTTCAAGGAAGACTTAGATTATTGGCAGATTGACTATGAATACTTAGACAAATGCTGTTTATATTCGTTTATTCAATTTTTGGATTTGCACACCGCTAGAATAGAATTTCAGTATGAAAAGAACGAAACTTTATCGAAGACTGTGGTATCGAAATGTTCAGCAATGAGGAACCGTATTTGGAAAGTTATAGACTACCACGAGGCAACATTGTTAGCAAAGGTAGGAATTTTGCAATAATAAACGTTTGATACCGATTCCAATACGAAGAACACGTATTTCTGGAATAGCCTAGCTCCATCAGATACCTCTTGACTAAATGTTTGGAAAGCCAAATACATAATACATAGGTGAGCGTCAAACAAAAAGGGTCTAAACATTACAGTTAAAACACAATAAGCTTAACCTTGCCCTAGAGAATTACAACCTCAGTTTTAGTAGATTTATATAACTTATACTTTATATATTCCTCTACCCCAGAATACATTTTGGGGCCTCAATGCTTTTAATTTCGTACCTTATTTGGCCTTTTTAACTTCTTTTATTCGAGAGTCACTAAAAAGTCTTGCGTACAAAATTCTAATCCGTGTATCTATGATGATTTTATTGTAAACTGAAATTTTAGAGTCAAAATGTTTTATGTAATTCATACCTATATTATACTACTTGCTACTTACTATATATATAGGCACTGTATCGGGGATTATAGTCCGTCAAAATTCGTAAGGGGTTCCACGGAACCACGTGTCTCGCGATTGCTGCTGTCAGTGTAAACATGTAATCATGAGTTAAAAAGTGAGTCCATTATCAGTGAAATACAGAATTTGAAAAAAAAAACCAAATCAAACTTTTTCTTTAGATGCTATTTCTTAGTCTTGAAGATTAACTTCTGTCCAGTTTCATAACAATCCACGAAGTACAAATTTATCATGTCTAAAAAATGTAACCTCAGACTAGTACTATCTGTAAAAACTAAGTCCATCTTTCCGAAAAGTACTGAAAATGGAAATATATTTTTTAAAGTTTTCTTCAGACATTATCTCGTTATCATAGAAAAAAGTAAAATCACAAAAATACTGAAATCCGAGGAAAATTCAAAAAGGAAAGTCCCTAATCAAATGTCAAAATCAAAAGCTCAAACACATCAAACGAATTGATAACAACTGTCATATTCCTGACTTGGTACAGGCATTTTCTTATGTAGAAAATGGTGGAAAAGCTTCTGCCAAAGTTTTTATGAAGGTTTGACAAAGAAATTGATGTGTAACAAACTTTAACACATGACTGTATCCACTTGTTAACTGTAAGTTCATTTATCCGTTAAATGTGTATATTTTCAAAATTTTGCTCTGGATACTGTATTTTGGTCATTAACAAGCTGCTGTCCAAATTTTAATACATTCCATCAAGGTTTGACGATGTTATTGATGACTGAAAAACTTTAACCTCAGACTGAATCTGAATGTTAACTGTAAAAAAAAACAAGTCCATTTATCAGTTAAATACGGAAAAATAATAAAAAAAAAAATATTTTCAAATTTTGCTCTGGATGCTATCTTTTGATGATAAACAAGTTTCTGTCCATATTTTATAAAATTCCATGAAGGTTTGACAAGGTTATTGATGTCCCATAAAAATTTTACCCCATACTGAACCTAAATGTTGACACCGCCGAAGCCGACACCGACGACGGAATCTAGGATCGCTATGTCTCGCTTTCGCGACATAAGTGTCGCAAGTTCGACAAAATTGACGTAGATTGTCTTCTTAATTTTTTTACATTTAGCCTACCAAAATAATTTCTTTATAGAAAAACTATCTATAATCGCCAAAACTAATATCAGATGATTTTATTACACGTTACGCATTTTCAGTTATTTTGAATTGGTCCACGATGGTATCATGAGTTCATTTTTTTTGTGCTTTGACACAGAGATGATTTAAAACAAGCTTTTCCTAGATTCTTCGTTGATAATATTATAAAATATTAAGAGAATATTCCCTCAGGCAAAACAGTATAACAAAAAATCCGAACATTGATTTGAACTATTTGTGTGTCCCAATGTGAAACCTTTTTTCACAAGTATCCTCAATTTGATTGAATTGTTCGTTTTAGTCGGAACATACGTCGTTATAGCGATTTCAAATTCGAAATTAAGACCTACATGTACTGATTTAATGAGTGTCATTGAAGATTTCATGGATTTTATCATTTTTATCTGCGGACGCACCTTTTTGGCAAGGGTTTTACTGACCGTTAGAAGAGGACCAACGTGACCATATATCTATTCTCATGTCACCCTTGGGGTCACAAAAACTGACAAAATCAAACGTTATTAACCAACGGAACGAACGAAAAACAACTGTCATATTCCTGATTGGTACAGCCATTTTCGGAAGAAGATGGTGGGTTAAACCTGGTTTTATAGCAAACTAAACCTCCTACTTATATGAAATTTGACCTTTTGTGGATTTAGCTATTTTTATGTCCCTTTATATCTTATTTATCTTGAATTATGCAAGTATATATCATGTATATACTACCTTTGTTCTAGAATGTTAATGTTTGAGCGTTCATGATGAGATAACTCCAGAAAAGCGCTTCGCACGCAATAAATTAAGTTTAATCTCCATTGCAACAAACTTTTCTTCCGTCCCCACAATGTAAAATGAATTTAGAAATGCACATTCGAATAACATTTTTAAACATTGCAAAATGCTATAATCCCACAAATCCTGAGTGTGTATTCACATGGATCTTTGTCATATAACATTGATATACATAGGGGTTAAGAGGAACATTAGTCCACGGTATTATAAGAATACTTATGTTTTGTTACATCCATTATTCTTTGTTACAGGAGAAAAATGGATGTAACAAAACATAAGTATTGTTACATCCATTATTCTTTGTTACAGGAGAATAATTCACGTTGACATAATGAAATAACATGCAGATAATTAGTAAAAATAATAGTAAAGATTAAATATCGAAGGTTTCTTTTTCAACGTTACTATCCTAAAAAGATAGTATGACCAGGACACCATTACAACGGCCAATATTCCTAAGATTGTTTATAGAAATAAGAAGATGTGGTATGGATGCCAAATGAGACAACTCTCCATCCGAGTCACAATGTGTAAAAAGTAAACAATTGTAGGTCAAAATACAGCTTTTTAACATTGAATTTGGACAACAGGGCCTCGCACTAAATTTACTGAAACCTGCGATTAACTGGACAATAAAAATCAATACACAAAAATGTTGCCAAAATTGATAGGTTTATGTCTATTTTTTTTTTTTTAATTTCAGTTGTACCTCATTGTTGGGATAACTATCGTGTTACTATCAGTGGGAGTATTGGCCTTAAGTACGTTGTCAACCTTCAGAAGTCCCGTTCCACTTTGTGAGGCTTTCAAATACATGTCATTTGGGGAGGCAGAATGCAACATTGCCACAGCATATGCAGACCAAGACTGCAACAAGCTAAAAGTGAAATATAAGGAAGACGAATCCTACATGTACTATATGGACCCGTCTTTCTATGATGACGATCAGACAAATCATAATGAATCCCTAAAACAAAAATTCGAACAATTTCTGGCAAGAAATCATACAGGAGTTACTCAAAAATCGAAAATATTTGTCAAAATTGACCACTTTTTTACAGCATTCTTCACAGCTGAATTTTTGCTAAGGCTGTTTGTGTGTCCCAATGTGAAATCATTTTTCACAAGTATCCTCAATTTAATTGAATTGTTCATTTTAGTCGGAACATACGTCGTTATAGCGATTTCAAATTCGAAATTAATACCCACATGTACTGATTTAATGAGTGTCATTGAAGATTTCATGGATTTTGTCAAAATGATTCGAGTTATCCGGCTGCTGCGATATTGTCAGAATTTGGCAGCAGTTCGCGTGCTTACCTTTTCGATAAAGAAAAATGTGAAAGATCTCTTCCTACTTTTCTTTCATATATCTCTCATTGTGTTGATCTTTGGAAACATAGTGTACCTGTCTGAGGATAGACACAACATCGATAGTATACCACACGGGTGGTGGCTTGGGGTCATAACTATAACAACGGTCGGCTTTGGTGATGTGGTTCCTACATCTGTAACTGGAAAGATCATATGCTCCGCCTGCGCTTTATGTGGTATTTTGACTCTTGCACTGATAACTTCTATATTTGTTGAAACTTTCATGTCCTTATATGGTGTAGCACTGATTGACGCGGTACCAAAAGAAGATCGTATCAGAAAGTGGGATCATTATTCGAAGAAAATTAGAGAAAATGGACATTCAGATTTCATTGACATAAAGAAAACAAAGATTTGAACTATAGTAAGTTTTATCGAAAGGCACAGTTACAAACAAGTATAAAAAAAATGTGAAGATGAATTCAAATCAGCACTGTATTATGGTTTTTACCTTCAGGAGTCTGAATGGTGGATCATTCGTTTCTCTTTTTTTTATGCCATTTTTCTCTCTTCTTTATTTTTGTCGCCCATTATTTTCTTTTCTATTATTTCATTATTTGGTAAATTTTTCTTTATTATTTATTTTTTTCGACCCTTTTTCTGTAGCTTTTGTCTATTATTCTCTAATCTTTAAACACCATGCAGGCCCTCATGCAATGTTAATAACAATGTTTCATCTTTGCACTATAAAACGTTTTAAACTTTTCTCACAAGTTGTCAGTATAGATTGGGTTAATTTGCAACATATGACATTATTCATTTTCTATTTTTATCAATAGATTGGCGTTTAAGTGAATACTTTACTCATTAAAAGCTCTCTAAAATTACTTTACTTTATTTCAGATTATTGAGTTATTATTGCATCATATTCTCAATAAGGCACTTTTCATAATGAATTCCCCTCTGTCATTTTTTTATTATATTATCGTTGGTATATTGTTTTGATGTAAATAAATCACATGAAATTGAATGCGTTTCATTTCTATGACATCCTTTTTCCTTAAATTTCAACTTGTCCAGCTTAAACAGGGACTGTAGAAAATAATACATATCATTTCACGCTACCAGAAGAGGAAGAACCATTTTCCAACACAATATTCATGTTTGACTATATATACATATCAAGTAAAACTGTATATTCGAGTTGCAAGTAAGAAGTGTTTAATTCTATTACTAGATATGTGGAGATTCATCTTTAAACCGACTCTATGTTTGGACCTTATAGTTCACACAGCTTGTCTTTCAAACACGGTTCACAATGATTTACAAAAATAGTAAAAACTAAGTAAAATTCCATTTTTATCATCCAGTATGAGACCAGGTATCCTTCTGATACCCATTTGTTTATCCATCACCTTTATTTTTTATTTTTCCTGTTTTATAATTATTTCCTCTATTTCTTCTGATGATGATGTGTGCAAGTTACCAAACAAAAATGCCTTTAGCTGTCGTTATACTTAATTTCTGTACCCCCTAAACAATATGGGAATCAGCATTGAGGATTACAGGGCAGCCATTGGCTTATTTCATTGTACATGTAGCAAAAGAAAAAGCAGCACTTATATTAATTCGCACGATTATGCATATTTAGAAATACTAAAAATTAACTTACATTGCTCCTTCTATGTTATTTCACTATCTTTTCTACAGTCAATAAATCCCAAGATTGACATTATCTTTCTGTTGTTTGTACCTCATTTTATTTTTTTTGTCGGTAATATTGAACCAAACCCTGGTCCAGATGAAAATAACATATCGAGTACACCCTCTAGTGTTAGATTTAGTGAAATCGATAAATCCATATCAATATGTAATTTAAATATCCGCATTATTAGAAACAAATTAGAATTCTTAAATAATTTCACTGACGAATTTGATGTCTTAGCTGTAACAAAAACACATTTAGATCCTAGTGTATCTGAAGATCTATAAAACTAGATTATTTCAATAACATTGTAAGGAAAGATCGAAACAACTTTGGTGGTGGATTAATGATATATGTTAAAGACGGTATCGGTATTGTGCGTAAAAGCGAACTAGAAAATCCCTTTGATGAAACACTTTGGGTTGAAATACGAGCCAAAGGTCAACACTTCCTTCTCTGTCATTCATATCGTCCACCGAATGCGGACACCGACTTCTGGGCACGATTAAATCATGCAATAGAAACTGCCTTTCAAATAAACGAAAATAAGGTGATCACTGGTTATCTGAATTCTGATCTTTTCAATGTCAATAATAATAAACTTATTGACACTTTGGAATTGCTCAATCTAAGAAATGTAATTGATAACGCAACAAGAGTTACTGATAAAAGTAGTACACTCTTATATCCTATAATAATAAGTGACTGTATGTCATATTATTTATCAGATGTCTTAAATATTCCCTCAGAGATTAGTGACTACAATGCAGCAGTAATATGTTTCTTGAGTGTCCATCAGCAATGTCACGTACTTTCAAAAGAGAAGGGTGGATATATGATAAGATGGATAAAGATAAATTTTTGAAAATAATTAATGAAACGGATTGGTATGCACTTCTTTCCGATGACAAGGATGTTAATGAATTATGCGAAATATTTACTGTAACTTTTTTTAACATTGCGAGGGAGTGAATACCTACCAAACAAGTAACCATACGAAAAAAAGACAAACCATCATGGTTCAATAGCGAGCTTAGAAGAGAAATACGCACTAGAGATCGATTACGAAAAAAAGGCTTATAAATCTAAAAAAACAATCTGATATTTTGAAGTACAAGCGACAGAGAAATAGGGTCAATAATATGAAAAAAATGCTAAAGAAAGATTTGAAAGTAATTTAGACAACATTACTCTAAATAATGTATCGAATACAAAAACTTATTGGAAAATAATGAAAATGTTAATCAAGTCTAACAATGGTAAAATAACATCCCCCAACTCCAAAATATTATAAATACCGAAAATATAGACGAAATTGCATATGAAGATGAAGAAAAATGAGAGCTATTGAACAAGTATTTTAATTTAATCTCCAAATTAGATGAGGAAAATATCAACTCACCACAATTTGAAACTAAATCTGACAATAAAATGTGTGACCTACATGTCACTTTTCAAGAAATTATAGATATAATTAATATTCTTGATCCAAATAAAGCATCGGGACCAGATGTGATTAGCCACAGGATGCTCAAGATCTGTCCAGATAAAGTGGCAATACCTCTTCAAATTATATTCAACAAGTCCCTTAGTCAATGTGTCTATCCAACCAGCTGGAAAATTGCAATGTAATAGCTATTTTCAAAAAGGGGGACTCATCTTTGCCATCTAATTACAGACCTACATCTCTAATTAGCTTCGTGGAGAAAGTTATGGAACGAGTTGTTTTTAAATTTGTATATAATCATCTCTTTAATAACAAACTTATCTATGAATGTCAATCAGGTCAAAACATTCAACAGTGCATCAATTATTAGAAGTTTATGATTGTATCTTAAATGCACTGGAAACAAAAGACATTTGCTGTTTTGTATTTTGTGATTTTTCGAAGGATTTGACAAAGTGTGGCATATTGGTTTACTACATAAAATGAAAGCATATGGCATTGAGGGAAATCTGTTAAATTGGTTCACAAGCTACCTTTATCAATGAAAACAAAAGGTTATTATTAATCAATCATCCTCGACTTTTTGCAATGTTTCAGCTGGTGTACCTCAAGGATGAATTCTTGGTCCTTTATTGTTTATCATATATATTAATGATACTGCTGAACAGTTAACTTCTTTATGCAGACTATTTGCAGATGACACTTCATTCAGTTACTCGGGTCATGACGAGGAACTTATACAATCAGTTGTTAGTCGTGACCTGAGACAGCTGGATGAATGGTCAAGAAAGTGGTTTATGTCTTTCAATCCTGAAAAAAACCCAGAAATAATGATGTTCTCAAATAATGAAATACAAGACCTTAATTTTACTATGAACAATAAAAAAATACCAATTGTTTGATCTCATAAGCATCTAGGGGTTACATTTAGAAGTGACGCAAAATGGAACAACCATGTTGAAAATATTATTAAATAGTGTTAAAAAGCATCTGAATGTACTGTGAAAACTCAAATATCAACTTAGCCGACATAAATTTGGAAAAATTATATCTAGTATTTATTAGACCAATTTTTGAATATGCAACTGAAGTATGGGACAATTGCGGAAAAGGTTATTCAATTAAATTAGAACAGCTACAACTTGAAGCTGCACGAATTGTAACAGGTTTACCTGTTTTCGCACATTCTGAGACTGTCTTAAAAGAGGTTGGTTGGGAAACTTTAGAGGAACGAAGAAAAAGAAGAAAACTACAATTGTTTTATAAAATTCAGAATAATAATGCCCCTGAATATTTATGTAGCCTTGTGCCCCTATAATTCAAAGTACAACACAATATCCCTTGCGAAATGGACAAGATATTATTTTACAATTTTGCAGGCTGACACTGACTTCCCAATCATTTATCCCCTCACAAATAAAACTTTGGAATAATCTGAACATGTCAGTTCGAAATGTAGACTTATTATCATAATTCAAAGTAGATTTAAAAAACCACGACATTCGAAATGAGAATCAATCTCAGCATTATTTATATGGTTCTAGAAAATTGAATATAATCTTAACCCAATTTAGATGTTCGGCATCCTTCTTGAATTGTGACTTGTTTAGAGCTAACATTATATCTGATCCAACATGTAAATGTGGTTTGGATATTGAGGACATGCGCCATTTTTTCTTTGATTGTCCTTTCTATCTAAATAAAAGGGCGATATTCTCTTTGATAGTCTCAGCTGGCTTCCCGAAGGCTGCGAATTGGACTTAAAACTTTTGATTTTTGGAAAAGAAACTCTTTCATACGATCAAAATGTGCAAATTGTTAAACAAGTATTCAATTTTATAAAGAGATCAAAATGATTCCTCGTAGTATAGTATTAACATAGGTAAAACGCACATCATCAATTTTCATCATTATCATCATCATTCTTATCTCTGTCGTTCTTTCTTCATCCCCTTTCCTTTTTTCAGTATAGTTTAGTAATATTTATGTTGTTTATATTATATAATGCATGCTCACATTCAATTTGTATTGTTATATATATTGTATTGTGGAGAAGACTTTATAAGTATGTTTTACTTGTGTCTGATCCTTTTTGCTTTGAGCAAATAAAACATGTTTAAACTAAACATAGGGCTGGTTTAGAAAAGAAGCAAAAGCACTAGTAAATGATAGTATTCCTTATAAAAAGGTTGATATGAAAGTTTGTGCATACCAGCAACACCTAACAAGTTATCATACCCGATTAATTGACAGCTTTAGAATTCAAATAACCCAAAATGGTGCATGATATGTAAGTACAATAACATCCAGAATCATCGAAATTCTACTTGCAATCAGGAAACGATAGGGACAACTAGTTGAGCGGTTACTGTTTACCATTCCGGAGCACCAGCTTTCATCTCGGTATTTCGGTGGGTTCATGTTGCTCAATCTTTGTCCGTGTGGCGTTTTCATCGTTTTTCATTTTGATTAGGGTGTTATTCTTCTTACGTAACATTGTTTGTTTTTATTGTCCCTTTCATCTTCTACCGCTTTTTGTATCAAAAACATATAAAGTTGCTGAACAACATGAGTTTCTTGAATAATCATAATAGTGTTGACTCGAGACCGAAAGATTGGAAAGCCAAAATTATATCTTTAGAGCATTCAAATAATTCAAAGTTTGGGGACTATGTTGAACGTATCTTTCCAAGCGAACCTGAAATACAGGATACCACAGATAATGTTAAGTCTGCCCCGTATCTTGACTTACATTTAGAAATTTACAATGCGATTCGGTTGAGAACAAAACTTTACGACAAAAGAGATGATTCGGCTTTTCAATTGCGAACTTACCATTTCCATGAAGCAATATTCTAGCAGCGTCTGCATATGGAGT